TAACATATTACAAAGTGACCACGATCAGAAGCAAAGGAATTGTCTTTCTTCTTCTTCTTCTTCTTCTTCTTTTTTTTTTTTTTTTTTGCAGTTTTTGGCCAGGGCTGGGATTGAACCCGCCACCTCTGGCATATGGGGCCAGCACCCTACTCCTTTGAGCCATCGGCACCGCCCAAATTGTCTTTCTTCTTAATCACCAAGTGATTTGACAGTGTATAAATCATGCCTACTCCATGAAATGAACCTCAGTTTAGAACACTGAATCAATGGAATGGTCTTTACATTGTCATAACAATAACTTCCTTCATCAGTGCTTTTACTACACCCAATGAGAAAACTTTGCAAAAAATAAAACAAACAAACAAACAACAACAACAACAACAAAACAGTGGGTCACAATACCTGCATGGTTGAAAATTACTAAAACACAACATAATCATTTTGATGTAGTTATTTTATTAATGAGAATAATTACAAGACCCCAAGAAAGTAAATTTTTCATCACAAATATTACTCTTATAATTTGAAATATGTTGTCTAATCTTAATAAAATCATTAGTTCTCCCTGTTTGATCACAGTCATGAAGATTTAATCACATTAAGGTACAGTATTACACTTAATTTCCTTACCCATTTCATCAGTATATCTTCTGAATGCATACTATGTTCCACACACTGTTCAAAGGTTTATAAATACATCAATGAACAACAAAACAGAGAAAAAGTCCCTCAATTCAATTCTACTGAAGTAGGGATAAAAACCATATATAAAATAAGCATGTATATCACATAGTGCTGCAGAAGATGCTAAGTGCCAAGGACATAGATAAGACCCAGAAGTAGAATCTGAAGTACAACTTGTAGAAGGGATTGTGGTTGCAACTTTAAATAAAGAGCCAGAAAAGATCTTGGGAAGGCGATATTCACACTAAGACTAGAAGATGGTTGTAGTGATTAAAGTGAGTTGAGGGATATCTGAGGGAGAAAAGATCTGAGGCTGAGGGCATAATGAGCTCAAACTTTCAGGAGATGCAAGGGATCAGGGTGGTTGGAGTGGAGATTGAGGGTGATCTGGCATTTGAGGTGGTGAGAGGTGTGATTTTGGGTGCATGACAGCTTACACAGGTGGTGGAAGATATTCCTTCTGTGTGAATTAGAAAACCATTAAAAAAAGTTTTGTTTTTCTTTTAGTAGAGAAATTATATTATTTGTTCATGTTTTAGCAAGAACAGATGTTGTGCAATTTTTCTTTTACTATCGACATTATGCCTAATATTTATTGATAGATAGACTTAATACTTTTTATTGCCAAATATTATGGGGTGCAAAAGTTTTGGTTAAATGAATGACTTTTGTACAGCTTGAGTTAAATACATAAGTGTGCCTTGTCCCCCTGGACAGTCTGCACTGTACCCATTAGGTGTGAATTTACCACTGCCTTCCACACCCATCATCTGCCTGCTTTTCGCTGAGTTTTACTATGTATGTGGTGGTGATTAGTTCCAAGTTAATAGTGACTACAAGTGTTTGTTTTTCCATTCTTATGATACTGCACAAAGAAGTAATAGGCTTAATTCTATAGTTTTCAGTTTCTAAATAAATGTATAAAAATGATAGTATTCCTTAGCTTAGCATATAAAAATTCAATCAGATCTTACATTGACAAATTCATGCTTTAGTATCCTTTAGTGCCCTAAATAAGATGTTTAAACATATTTCAAATCCTGGTTACAATTTCTTAACGTTGTTTATGTTCTCATAATGCTTGCCATGATAAAATGTTTCTGATTGCCTAAGTGTTCCTTTTATGGATGTAATACCTCTTTGGTTGATTAATTACAAGTTGCCGGCTGGCTCATAATCTTGCAATATGTTTAAATTAACCGATAGGTGTATTTGAAAGACGCATATTAGCTTGCAAAAGCACCCAGAAGTGAAATAATTATTCACTGAGCATTATTTATCATCCTAAACTCTTCATGAAGTCAGAGTATTTCCATGTTTTCATTTAAATTGAAGATCTAACTTGAAGTATGCTATAATCTTATGTATCATTAAAACATAACTAAATGTTTTTTGTAGGTACTTGTGTATCTTCATGGAAGGCACCTAGCAAATTCTCCAATGCATGCTTTATATATAAAAATAGTACCATTCTCTTATTTTCTGTTTTAAAGAAATATTGAATTCAAGCTGCTTTATATGTTCATACACACTACATTCATTAAATTAAACTATTGATTTATCTAATCCCATTGTTGTTAACTGATAGTAAAATAGTTTCCAATAATCATATACCTATTTTCCTTTTCTGAAATTATTTAAAACAATACATACGAACATACACCTGAGTATGTATGAACAGTAAGGATAATATACAGCCTGTCAAGACTAATTTATGAAGAAATAGAAAGTATGAACAGACTGTGTCTAACCTAGTATTAAACTAGGTATAATTATGTTGAGATTTTGGAGACTGAATCAATCATCAAAGAATAGCCCAGAGGCCATGAGGTATGAAAAAATGTTCGGCATCACTGACTGTCTGAGAAATGCAAGTCAAAGCCAAATGAGATATCACCTCACCAGAGTAGAATGGCTATAATTAAAAACACAAAAAATAACAAATGCTGATGAGGATGTGGAGAAAGGAGAACTTTTATACGTGTCAGTAGTGATGTAAATTAATACAGCTGTTATAAAAAACAGTATGGAGGTTCCAAAAAAATTAAAAATGTATCTATCACATGATTCAGCAATCTCATTACTGTGTATATATTTTCAAGGAAATGCAATCAGTATGTAAAAGAGACAGCAACAATTCCATGTTCATTGGAACACTGTTCATAACAGCCAAGATATGGAATCAACCTAACTACTCATCAACATATAAATAGACAAAGAAAATGTAGTCCATGAAGTCTGACAATTAAGTCTGCAAACTGATCCTGAAAAAAATGCAATGTACCTATTGCTGAAATTCACGATTGTCACCTTTGAAGTATTTACCTTGGGAAGCTATGAACTGATGCAAATGCCTAGTCCATCTTCAAAGCAATTTTGGAATTCTTTTTCTGGAATCACCATCAGAGTTGTTGTGCAAAAGTCTGACAATTAAGTTCCTGAACTAGCCACTGTGCTGTACACAAACAACTCAGTAAGATTTCATAAACATTAGTGTCTCACAGCTGTGCTCGCGTTGACATGTGGTGGTGCCTTGTGAGTGGCATTCGTTAATCTTGTTGAATGTTTCTGCGTGACATATTATGACAGCCCTGATGTACATATACAATGCAATCCTATTCAGCCATAAAAGATCAGATATTGCCATTTGTGACAATATAGTCGAGATTGTAGGACTTTAAGCTAAGTGAATTAAATAATCCAGGCAAAGAAAGACAAATATCATATGAGATCACTGATGGAATCTAAAAATATGATCTCATAAAAGTTGAGAGAAAATAGTGGTTACCAAAAACTTGAGGAAATAGGAAGGAGGGAGATATGAGAAGATATTAGTCAACTGGTAGAATGACGCAGTTAGACAGGAGAAATATGATCTGGTACTCTAATGCATAGTAGGGTGACTATAGTGAACAATAACACATTGCATATTTTGAATAGTTGGAGGATTTTGTATGTTCTCACATCGAAAATTAATAAATGTTTAAGGCTAGGGATATGCTAGTTACCTTGATATGATCATTATAGTGTGTATACATGTATTTAAATACCATATTATACCAATAAATAAGTACAATTATTATGTGTCAATGAAAATAAAAAGAGAGAGAGAGAAGGAAAGAAGGGAGGAAGAAAGGAAGGAAGGAAGGAAGGAAGGAAGGAAGGAAGGAAACAAGAAAAAGCCAAGGACCTGATGACTTCATTGGTAAATTATTATGAACACTTTAAAAAGAATTAACAATGATACTTCTCAAATTCCTCCATAAATTGATGAGGCAGAACACATCCAAACACATTCTATGAGGCCAGCATTACTGTAATATCAAATTCAGACAAAGACGCCACAAGAAAATAAAACTAGAAACCAACATCTCAGATAAATACACATGCAAAAATCTTCCTCATAAAATTAGCAAACTAAATCAATAGTACATTAAAGAATCATGCCCCATGATCAAGAGAGATTTATACCTGGTATGTAAGGATGGTTCAATATCCATACTAATACAATAAAGGATAAAAATCAATGACTATTCAATAAGTTGAAGATGAAGCACTTTACAAAATTCAGCAACCTTTTATTGATAAAAATTCCCAACACACTAGGAATAGGAGGAAACTGCCTCAACAAGAATTAATTAAGCTGTTATATATTAACTCAACTTTTCTCAGTTAAAATAGCCATTTCCATATAGGAGGAATGAGTAAAACGAATGAATATTTCACATTTTTCTACCACAATATTTAAGAAAGAACATGTTATGATTATTAAACATGCTGCTTGCTTAATAAAAGTTAAATGCTTAACTTCTAAGCATACTTTTTAGATAAGAGCATATTTATTAGCATACATTTTATTTGGAAAGAAAATTTTCCTGCAAAGTTCACAGTTTATAATACCACTGACATCTTTGATATAAGCACACATTATTAAAATGCTCCCCTCAAAAAAATCCAATAATGTAAGGGTTTATACACACAAGA